GATCGTTCGCAAACATTGTGTTAAGCCAATAAATTACCTTCGAGATTCCCATTCACGGGTCCATACTTGTCCAAGCAGGATATTTGCAGACAATTTGTTGTGTCAAAGGTTACACTAAAAAGCTATAAAAAAATGACGAGAGCGAATGCATAATTCACCAATACATACAGTCCTACAAGGGCATACGAAGTTGTAAAACAATCTACAATCCATTTTGAAACACCATAGATACATCCTGAAACTGAAGAACAAAAAACGATAGATCAACCACAATTCATTATAGGTAACTATTTAGGTATGCTGCTCAATGTGAAGCATTCAGAACACGACCTAGTACGTCTATGTCTCCCAATGTTCGAAACTATCCGAACGAATTTTGACACCAAAGCTCAACGGCGTTGGATGACTCATTAAAATTGATCTATGAAAGGCCAATTTCAATCATCATGTGTCTTTGAGTGTCAATAACAATATACTTTCCAATGAAGACGCATTGCCAGAGTAACAGATACCTGGCCAGGCCATAACAGGTCGCAATATCTAATGACTCAAACCTGGATAGATACTGGTTCGTGCAACTAATACTGGATCATGCAACTCATGCACGAAAGACGTGTACACGCATTTTTTATACAAGTAATTTAGATTGTTTTAATCCTCATGATTTCATGAAGATTGGGATTAAGTCAGGTGAAAAAGTCCAAGACTGTAATAATCATATATTACCTCTGAGAGGCACTAAATCACCATCGTGAGGGAATTGGCACTCCTGAAAATTGTGGTTGTGAAAATGGTGGGTAAAATTGTGATTTGTTGAGTGCCTTTCTCAGGTGTTCAGGCAGGTTTGTTGTTGATACCTGCTGAGGGATTTCAATTTCTTAAGAGCGTAACGCAGGGAGCGAGAGGGGTGAAATAGCCCTCCGGTAAATCGCAAGCTTAGAACGTGCTTCGAAAGGTGACTGGCAAGTGATTAGCCGGATTAAAGTTAGGCATAGTTAAGTAACTGAAGTATCCAAATTACATGCCTGACTACAAGTCCACAACAAATGTACGAGCTCGTTAGCAGTTTTCTTTTGAACAATAATAAGAACATTTCAAAGACGACTAAAATATTCAGAACATCTCACCTGCAAAACGAAGAACAGTTCCACAATTCATCGGCAATTTGGTCACTGAATCGCACCACTTTCACTAATTAGCCAACGTCTGCCGTCGAAAGAACCGCGTAAATAGCCTTGCAAAACATATACTCTGGAAACATTCAACCTACTCTCTCACTCTGACGCCTTTGTCAACAGGGGAGCAGCGAGGTAAAAATAATCATTTATAGCTGACCATATCATGAACGAAAAGGCAGAATTATATAGTGTACACTACGAAATTCCAAACAATGGTTGTCTATCAAAACCGATGGAGATTTGCACATTGTCTTGCTATTTTTGAAGCCTTAACATCGATTTGGCTAGTTGGATTTAAGTCAAGAGTCGTTACAATAAAGCTTAAGTGAGACTCATTAACAACAGCGTTTGGTGCATTTTCGCCTTGCAATATCCCAACTACATGAAATTTAGCCGTTTTCTTCACGAAGTAAAAAAAAAAAACGATGTGTTGTATTGGTAGCCGATCGCTTTAAAATGCACAACAATATAAATGAAGCGAAAACTGTTTTATCCCACACCGAAAACCAAATCGTTAAGTGTATCATCTTTACTTAGCTAAATAGGAAGACAAGCTTAGCTGCATAGTATGAAAATACCACAAATGGCCTGATCTGATCTTCATCAGAATTTCGTGAATACTTTCAAACCTTTTGGTTCTAAAACGTCGAATTTCAATTAGGTATACAAAAGTAAGAATGCGTCCATCCATCAGCCATCTAAAGAAAGTCTGAACAGCGGCGGTTATTTGGTAAACATTTTCTAAGCATGTTTCATTCGAAACTCATTCCTCTAATCGCGAACAATCTAAAACTTGTTGGTAATCTGCATCCTGATTCACATGCTTTAAAAATGGATATATTACAGGTCGACACATCAGCACGAAAAATCCTGATCAACACAGTTCACAATGATAAAACAAGGTGCAGAAACCGTTACACAATAAACACGAGAGACACTGGATGTGCCACCCCACCGTCTCCATGTTCTGCCATCGTAATTGAAATCTGCCAAACCCCAGCCAAGTGGCACAGACACGCCGCTTTTCTCTAGTAAATTAATCAAATTACAGGGACATCACATTCAAATTATTATATATAAAAAGTACGCCAAGTCAGATAAACACGTTTCATATTGCTGGGTGTTGCTCAAAACAAAACCAGCCAATGCTACAGTTGGTGCCGTTGTCATTTATAAAATTACTCGTAACACGAGTTTTAGACTAGGCTTGCCGGACTGCGAACGTCACTAACGCGCCAATACATTTTATAGCATACACAAAAAAATACGGCAGCGTGTTAACCCTCGCATGTGTAGGGGGGGGGGTCAGATGGACCCCCCATGGTTTTTCGCGAATAACTCGCGTAAAAAGCGGCCGATCGCGACGAAACTTTCAGTACCCTCACATTGATCAATTTTACACCTACCCTGAAAATTTCATGACCCTGACCCAAATGACCTTTGACCTGTGACCTCTTTTCCGAGACCATGTTTGGCCGGAATCGCGATTCTGCGTATGTCGGCTCGCATTAGCCGCGCGTTTGCAAGCTTTTCGTGGTTTCAAACGTTCAAACATGTGATTTGATGTTGCTTCCATGCATTAGGGTGGGTGTCAAGGTCACCTGAAGGTCAGGTCAGGTCATTGACCTTTGGTGACCTCGGGTGACCTCGGTTCACTTTTTCGAGCTGTACATGTTTCTAGGCTAGTTTTTGGAGCTGAATTCGAATTTAGCAACCATTTGAACATTAACGAAGTAGTTTTGGTGCCTTCGTAACATGTTACGAAGCTGTCAGAGGCGGTTGACACGTACTACGAATACCCGTCACGATGCCTACTGGTTGACCTGACCTGACCTGACCCGACCTGGTCTAAATGCTTAAAGACATCATCTGTGATCAAAACTAACACGATATTCGTTGTTTCCATTGTCGTTGTTCCAACAATGATTTCCATTGTTATCTGGGTTGACGTTGTCCCTTGTCGCCAGTATAAATTTTAGGTGCCATTAAGATACCTAGAAAAGTCCCCTTAATTTCAAAAACATAAAACGAATGTGCTTCCTGTCGAAATTTAGGGCAACATAGGCTAATAATGCCTAATTTAATAGATAAATCAATACTTCTACAAGCAGCATTTTTTCTTTGGAAGAAATTTACTCATCAGAAAAGCAGCAGAAAAAAAACTCCCCAAATACTCCGAGAGTAGCTAAGCTCAGCCATATAGGCCATAGATCAGTCCTCAGCATAACAGTGAAAACCAGTTTTGGTAACATCATTGGCAAGACAGCGCAGTGCTAATTAGTTAGCACCATTAGCACCATTAGCATCGGCAGAGCTGGTCGCTGATGGAGACGGCGAGGTGACAATCCCATGGGTCAAAACGGCGACCGGCAGCGGCGCGGGCGGCGCAGAATCGGGGCGTGAAAGGAAGGGGTCAGAGAGAGAGAGAGAGAGAAAATGAAATTTGGGAGCGCCTGGGAGGGAGAGGGAGGGAATGGGGGAGAGAGAGAGAGAGAGAGAGAGAGGAGAGAGAGGAGAGAGAGGAGAGAGAGGAGAGAGGAGAGAGAGAGAGAGAGAGAGAGAGAGAGAGAGAGAGAGAGAGAGAGAGAGAGAGAGAGAGAGAGAGAGAGAGAGAGAGAGAGAGAGAGAGAGAGAGAGAGAGAGAGAGAGAGAGAGAGAGAGAGAGAGAGAGAGACTACGATGTTGTGTCCCGAGTGAATGTGAGTGTGTGTTATTGACAGATAACAGATTAGTCGTCACTCGCCATTCACTGCAAACTGTGTCAAAAGCAAGTGGATTGTGCTACAAACGTCTGTGAGAATATGCTTTTACGACGCACTCTGGAACAACTGGACGGTTGAATATTCATTGGCCATGTTATTAGTTGTGCCATGATAATTTTGGTGCCATAAGCGTAGGAACCGTGGGTGCAGTGGATGCAGTTGCACCCAAAATAATTCTCTAGTGGGTGCAGACAGTGAATTCTGCACTCACAATAATCTGGAATAAAAACCCCTTTTCTCATCAGCACTACTTCCCATGCAGCACGACAAATTCAGGATATTTTCCTCGCTATCCATCTTTCGAAACATTTGCTACTGTGATGGTCTTCAAAACTTACATTTGTGCTCAAGTAAAAAAAGAAGAAACGGAACACATGCCGATGACCCACTGTCAAAAGTTTTAGCGCGATCTCTTCGAGAATGGCTGAGCCAGCCGCTTTTACTTTTTGCGGTAGTCAATTCACAGTTGCGTGAATAATTGACATTATGAATTCTTCAAAATGCACTCATCGGTGCCTTTCGACATGGTACACCCTCAAAGCTCGCAATGAGCCTCCGCTCGGGTGCCGCCGCTCCTTACCCCCCCCCCCCCCCCGCTTCACCGGCCATGGCTGGATTTCTGCACCCATGCACCCACAATGTTCCAGCCGTTCCTACGCCGATGTTTGGTGCCGTCATGAGCATGGTCACTCGTACGCGTCGATAAAGATTTAGTGAGGGCACCAGTAATTCAAGCAAGCAGTCCCATTGACAGTCTAAGGCTGGTGAATGGTGATGGCAGGCAACTCTCAGGCCTCCATACGGCTACCCAGACTGATGACCTTCTGAATAATGTGCAGTGTATAAGTGTGTATGACTGAATCTCTTTTTTGTCGCATGACGATGCTGAATAAACACAAAACTACTGCAATATGCCTGAAGATAAGCCACCTTCAGTGTTAACCCTCATTGTGTGAGGATGAACGGCGAGGAGTTGGCGAGGATGGGTGGAAAGTACGACAGAATGGAGCTAGGAATCCCGCGCCGCCCGGCCACCGTGCACAGCAGACAGTGAACCCACCTTGTGGAGTCGAGTCGTCACCGGCTGTTCGCTGAGAGGGTCCTGCCACCGCGCCGCCCGGCACTGAGAACGAAGACAAAATAGGAGTCACAGGGTGCTGGGGAAGAACTAACAGACCCAGGCACAGCACAACCTACGTGCAAGGTACTACCATGCGCATATATGGACACAGGGGCACGTGAAGGATGCTGGAGGGTGCAGAACTGCACAGGCCTTGTGACACAGTACTGGACATAAACGCGGGCACAAGAGGGAGGGCGCACGATGGATGGTGGCGCCATCTGTGCACACGTCCTAGCAGTATGGCATGCACGGAAACAACGGCGGAGGTTAGATGTTATTGCCCCATTCTATCATTTACACAACCCAACAGCATTACGCTACAGGTAGCCTTACGATCTTTACATTTTGCAAACAAAACTAATTTTGTGTTTAAATCATATTTCAGAACGCATTTCAACTCGAATAAATGTCCAGCTAATAACTGAAAACGTCTTACTTAGTTTACTTAGACTCTGCAGCACATCGAAGGGTGATGGGATGCATCACATCCCAATATCGAGGTCTGTCTTACCCAACCTTCAATAAACATCCAATGTCTAGCCATGGACGTCAGTAGTCTTTTTTTTTTGCCGAAATCACGCATACGGAATGGTTTCATCCCAAAGCAGCCCTCAGTTTTTGAGCTGTAAGTACTTGATGCTCAATTGTTTAATCAGCTTAGCGTGACTATTGTATGAGCGAGTTTGCATATTGGTGTGACATTAAGCTCAATAAAACAGTTCACACTCCCTCCCCTTCCAGCCCGACCCCGCTACTTACTGGCTGCTGCCGCCTCTGCCATGGCGGCAACTGTGGCCAGCTCAGCAGAGTGCTCCCCATAGCCGGAGCCCTCATACTCCGCCACATAGCCGAGCGTGGCATCCAGACTCGTCTCGTCCTCATCCTCAGTTAGATCGACCTTCTCCACTTTTACTGGCTCGGGACCGGTTGGCAGTTGGTCTCCGGAGCGACCACCAGCTGATGGTGGCGCGTGGTTGACGGTTGACGGACTCCCGACGCTACTACCGCCTGATACAACCGAAGATGCGGGGTCACCCCGTGAAGCAGAGAAGTCGGTGAACGGTGCAGGCGAGCCACTGGGTTGCTGTGTGGGTTGTGGTGCCGGTGGCGCGGGCGGCGGCGGCGGCGGCGGAGGTGAGGTCCGACCGGGTGTGTCTGTGCCGTCGGAGACGCGCCGTCGTTTGGCCGTTGGGGGCGGCGGGGGAGGTCGCGGCGAGCGGGGTCTGCCGGCGCGACTCGATACCGGTGGATGGCGGTCCACCGGAGATGAGGGGTTCTGTGGGAGAGTCGACAGAGTGGGTCAGATGTATTTTTATTCAAAGCATCATACATTTTGCACATGGACATTGGGACAACTCCTCATGCGTCGGTTGAGGTTCGCCAATGCAACATTGCATCAATGGCGAACTCAAGCATCATAGGGTCAGAGGTGATGATGATTGAAGTCACAAAAGTAATCCCACAGCCTAATTCGCACCCTGGGATGCTCAGATAGCATCATGCATATTGAGTATGCATAAAATTACATCACACCATAGTGGCACACACTAAAAAATTGACCATCAGAAATTATTTAATAACTGAATGTGGTGAGATACTTATTTTACTTTAACACATTTGATATCAAATCTGATTATTTGATGACATATCAAGCATAATACTGAGTGGATACTCTAAATGACAGCAACCACTACCCAATAACCATCCAACTCATACTAACCTTCTCCTCCTCCCCGCTAAGCCCCCTGATCTGCAGCATCTCAGCCGTCTTCAGGAAGCTCCCCAGCTGTGTCTGTGCCACGTTCACACTGCCCTTGTAGATGAACTCAATGATGGCAGACAGGTCGGCGGCTGAGGTATCCTTCAGGAAGAACACCAGCTCCTGACATGGGTTATTCTAAAACACGAAGACAGATAAATTGTGGTCAGTGTCTTCTGTCTAAGCAATGCCCTTGTGGCACGGTGTTGAGAGGAAACATCAGACTGATAACAACTGAGAAAGTGGAAATTGAGTAATTGAATTATTTCTTCTATTCACCCAAACTTATAACAAACTCCATCATTTTACTGATTTACATAAGTCGCAGGCATAATTTTAAAAGTGCTTCGAAAATATTTGGCATTTAAGCATGCTTGAGGTGATAAAAATGTTTCATTTTTTATGAAAGGAGTGCAAAATCACACTAAAATAAGCAAAGGCAGGTGGATAATTGATGATGACTGGGTGTCAATCTGCACATATCAACATTTAAGAGAAGTAGATTTTGGGAAATCAATGTTTCAAGCAGCCTACAAGATTATTCCAAAGTTTATCAACAAATATGTTATCAGCAAATTTCCTCAATTTCTCACCTTCAGCAGATCCCTAAAGTAGGGGCTGCAGGCCGACAGCATCATTCTGTGTGCCTTGACGCGCTGCCCCTCGCAGCAGAGCGTTATGTCCACCAGCTCACCGTCCCGCCGGAGGTGGTCAAACACGGAGGTGACGCTGCTCTGGAACCCATCCCACTTGAGGCAAAACTTCTGAGAGTCCATCATCTGTGAAAAATACACAATGGTTCACAAATCAATGTCACAGCTGACAACTCAGACATTGACAAAGAAGAAAAGAGCTGACACTTAGTTTCATTGGAGTCTTGGACCCAACCAACAACAAGACCAACAAAATCGGAGAATAATTCAATAAAAAATTCAACTGAAAATAACAAAAAGAATATGTCTTTATAGTTTTTACACATGATTATTAAAAAGATCACAGGAAAAACATGTATCACACAAGGGCACGAAACCGACGCAGCCCGAACGCGAGAGCCGACGTAGCTCTTGCCCGGAAAATGCCCACACGACCAAAGGAGCAACAGCCTTATTACTTCTACCAGACATCGTAAAACAATAAAAACAGAGCATTTCAATTAATAAAATAGCATACCTACGCAGACAAACAGAAGTAACGCCGACGTTCATTCAAGCACCGGCCGAGCATGCGCCAGAATTGCCGTAATATTCCAGCTTTTTCCGCTTTTTCAACGTTTTGAGAAAAGCTTTCGTCAAAATCACAATAGTTTGAGATTCTAGCATAGCTCCAATGTCGAAAGTATGCACATTGCACAGTACACGGCTCAAGGTTTGAGATGTGATACAGACTGTGTTGCATTTTTGCGATCTTTTAGGGTATCATCGGCCTAAGAGGACTCCAATCCTTCTTTCGATCGTCCCACTTACCTCCGAGGACCTCCATGCACATGCAGGCTCTAGGAGGGCTGAGATGATGCCAAAGTCTAGGGGTCTTCACTCTTCATGCAGGTCTACGGGGGCTTCACGTGGCAGTCTCTTAGTGTCCTTCGAGGTCTGAGAGCTCGAATGGTCCCCGATGAGTCCTATGGCCCTTGGGGCGCTGCACACTGGATTCCGAGAAATTCATGTCAATATTCGAAGATCATGCTTAGGTACTCGCTGGCAGTTGGCACCCCCATGCCAGTCACAGAGGCCCAAGCCGGACCGGGGGCTCCACCAACGGGGGGAGGAGGGGGGAGTTCGCGATGGTTCGGACCCCCCCCCCCAATGCTTTCCCTTCCGCAATGCAGCGTAATGAATAAGAATGTGCATTCTGGGGTAGGCCACCCCCCCCCCCCATCCCATCCTGAAACCGTGGTGGAGCCGCTAAGCCGTGAGTCTCACCCGGACTAAAAAGTCCCGTGCCATTGTCTGAAGGCCCACACACTGTCAGCGGCCTTTGCGGGCTCCACGTCGATGTCTGAGGACCCTGATCGGTCCCTGAGGGTCCAATGCCGACGTTTGAGAAACCTTTTCTAGCCGCTGAGGGCTTTCATCGGCTCCACAGGTGCACGTCAGCCTAAGATGATTCCGTGCCGGCCTTTTCAGAAACCACACCGTTCCAGAAGATGATCTCAGGACGAGAGGGTGCATATCGGCCTGCTCATATATGATACCTAGACTCCATGGACAATACCGTTTGCTGCTTTGGTATAATGCCGCACAGTACATAAGTGCTGTGTTCACTGGTCAGGCCCATGCATACCTATAGGTAACACTATATCCTGGCATGGTATGAATCGATAAAAATTTCGGTCCAAGAGGGTGACAGAGCCCTTAGTGCTGTTCTTCACTATCTAGTTTCAGGGAGGGCTGACGTCGATTAGGGAAGCGCACAGTGCACTCCTCAGTAATGGGAGCCTAGGTCGAGTTCTGTGACTATAAGAATTTAGCTCTCAGCACTATCAAGAAACACCGTGCGCGGGAACCGGGGGGAGGGGCAGTAGGGGAGCCTGCCCCCACAATCTGGGGCTGTTGGGGCCCTGACCCCATAACTTTTCTTAGGGCCAAGAACCGTCGGGGCACTTTTCCTCCCTAAATTATGGGTGATGGGAAACAATGAAAAACTGAGTGGAAGAAAAAATTAAAGGGACCCTCCCACCTTCAAAAAAGTTTATGAATTGACATGAAAGTGATGTCGCTCGATTAAGAAAGAGCAAAAACGAATATCTACCAAATTTCACCGAAAAATATTCACCGGTTTTCAAGATATTAGACTTTTACTTTTGTTTACTTTTTTGGTATCTCCGCTGTTCCTAGCGACTTCATTTTGGAAGTGCGGCGTTCGCGGCAGATGTTGCGCGCAAATAGCATATACCACCACTGCTTTACAAAGATGTTAGTATGTATACCTAAGGTTTTAAAATCGTTAGATCACAGCTGATGTCACAAGTTCTAAGAGGGCATCTCAATGCATTAACCCCTTAGAATCCGAAAATTGCAAGTTTGAAATTCCATATCTCCGAATTAAAGCATTTTTCGATGTTGTGAGTGCCCAAACTGGTATTTGCAGGCCATGGCCACCAATTTGGCTATCTCAACTCAAAACTTATGTTAAGGTGGGATAGTCACTTTAAAGTAAATACCCTCCCTCCCTCCCTGGCTCGACAGCTTATGTGTCAGATTTAGACCTTCATTGCAGGAAACCAGAAAGGTAGTTCCTTGACTCAGCTGAGACATAATGCCTCACTTTTTTGCTAATGTTTTCGTTTTGTTCTTTTCGTTGATCAGGCCAAGGGGTGAAAATTAAGTGGCCTAAAACCGATGAGAAAACTAGCTTTGAGGGTGACCTAGGCACCGGAAGTATCAGGTGTGTCCCCCTCCCCCCCCCCCCCTCCCCAGTCTGAAAGTAGTTCCTGCGCGGCACTGTCAATAAATGACGCCACGCTCGATTCATTTTTAAATAGTCAAGTACCATTTTTGCAAAAAAAACTAATTTCGTGTTTAAGTCATAATTTCAGAAGCATTTCAACTCGAATACCTTAATTTCCAGCCGATAAATGAAACGTCTTACTTAGTTGCCTAAATCTCGCCATAAGGTACAGGTCGGTTATATTTAGAAAGTTTTGTGGAGTGTCTCTTTATCACCTACATTTTTACAAGTTTATTGGCTATCGAACTTAAAATTTCACAAATCGATGAAATTCAACTACATTTGACGGCAGTTTTTTTTTTTTAGCAGAATGACTGAAGCATTTCTTTGTGTCTCGCAAATAATGCTTCCTGAATTGTTCGATCAGGCCCCCTACACAAATACACATACACATAGTTTGCCTCGATTTCAATGCGTTTAAGCGCAACTGGTGAAAATGCCTGCATATGAGTACCTATATAGTCAATAGTCATATATCGGCATTCACTGATGTGATAGGATTCCTAAAATGAAAAAAGAACAACTTCCCAACGAGCACTACATGCTTTAGTTGATTGGACGGACCTGTAATAATGCGGTAAACGGGTATGTCAGGCTATATTGGGATCGACATAAGCTTCCACCAATCAGAATATCAGCCTGTCGCTCAAATAAATCAGCTTCTCTATACGATTGATTTGTTATCAGGATGCAGTCTCTAAGATCGGTGTTCAGGAAAAAGACGTGGTACTTATTGCTATATCTGAGTTTTATAGCGATCTCTCCTCGTCCTAGCAACAGATTTATTGTGAGCCAAAATTACCGTGTATTCAGTATGCATATTACGAGCATCAGAAATTTCAGTACAAAGACGAGTTAGGTATGTGACAACTTTCTTTAAAAGCATGGCTGATAACCTCTGGCTGGAGAGAAAGAAAAAAAATCAAGTAAATCTTGTACCACTATCCACCCCTAGAAGCTGATATCGACCTGAAGTCAGTTTAACCAACAGAAAAATAGCCGCCTGCCGGAATTTTTTACCTAAAGATCGCTTCACATATGGAGCGTAAATGAGATAAACACGTACGCGAATAGGGCTTTACCGTTTACGCCCTGTATGTGAAGCGGTCCTTGAGCAAAAAATTCCAGCAGACTGCTATTTTTCTGTTGGTAAAACTAGCCTCAGAGCTATTTAAACTATTATTGTTTTCGGGTCACCTCCCAGCTTTTTAGCATCATGGGGAAATACTATGGATGGAAAAAAGATAAGGTTTTAATGTTAATCAACGACCGCCAGCTGCCGTGCGTCACGCATTATCCGCGTAGCCATGCGTGATACGGAAAAAGATGCTTTTCAGAGTGGAGCAATCATCATCTGCGCAGTCCACTCTCATGATTAAACAAATTCCTCCGACATATATCGGCTATTGCATGCTCAGGATTATTTGTTTATTTTCATGTGATTGCACCTCCACGTCTCCATTATGGTTATTGACGGATAATCAAACGAAGCCTACTTCTTAGAATGCTCCAGGCTGCTAGATTAGATGGCTACTAGGGTTACCCGCGTGCTCCGCAACGCGAAGAAGGGTTATTTTTGACCCGTGGGTATTGGGTTGGTCTGTGTCGATTTGGTTGGTAGATATCCATTTCGTTCGATTGCTTTTTGACGGCCAAGCATTTTGTAAGAAAACAAAAAGATACATCGCATCGAGGTGCCCGTGTCGTATTATCATGCGTTCTACTTTAGGATGATTCGAAAACTGGCGTGAAGTCTTTTGAGGGCCATCGATGAATTTCGCTAAAAAATGACAATGTAATGGTTTGGAACATTTACATTTTTAAGGATACTGTTGCTAATCATGCAAAAATGAAGAGTGAATATTGGACAGAATTGAATGCTCTATCCAATGGTACCATATTCAATTGCCAAAGGTATCAGGTTATGCAGCAAACCCCGTGTGATTAATAAAGTGGCACAAAATTGACAAACACCATTTTCTCCTGTGATTTGCACCACCTTGATTTGGATCAATCAGCTTTTCACAATTTTTATATGAGAGGCGGTACCTTTCTCTTGCAAATAGGCGTTGATTCAACTCGCTCCATTTAACGGTCACCTAAAAATAAAATTAATTCCAAAATCCCTCAAAAACCGCAATTTTTCAAATAAAAGTGCCCTCTCCGGTGCACGTGGCGCGTGCTATCCTCTGCATTGCACACCTTTCAATAGCCCCTTCAATTCTGTACACGATGCTGTTTTCCACGTGCCAGTCGGACCCCTGGTCACCAAGATATCGCACGGGAACTGGACCCGTGTCGGCCAAAATTAGCCGTTTTCGCCCGATTTCGCACGCCGATTTATACATGTAAAGTCTATGACGCGAATTTGCACTTTTTGAGCACGCGCCACGCGCTCCCTATCAATCCGATCGAGAAAAGACCGCTCAAAGGCACGTCGCGCATCCTTGATCTATAAGTTGTGCAAATTTCACCGGGCTAGGTGCAACGGTCTGGCCTGTAGTCCACGCAAAGCACCACCAAGTTGGGACCTCAGTAACGGACAGACGCACCCTCCTCAAATAGTAATATAGATTTTGTTATGAGACGACGGAACGTTAGAAGTAGGTTCAATATAACCTTGTTATATATGTGTGTATTTGTAACCTTGTTATATATGTTCAACGTACAAGGTGTATCCCGCTCCCATGCTCGCACGTACAGCTAGGAACATGCGAGTACAGGTGATTAGTTAGGAGGCGGCCTGGCACTTCCCAGACACACCCTATGACCATTTCAGCGGGATGCAATAGGAATAAGGTGATCTGAGATGGTCACGTCTTGCGCATCAAGGCCGTAGTTGCAAGCGGAC